AAAGGTGAGGGAAGAATATTATTTACAACAAACACGCACAAATGTAGAGGCAAACCGTTTAACAGTAACTGCAGGAAGAAATATTTCACAGTTGAGTCTCCTCATTACAGCAGAAATCTCATTTTCTCACTTCTCAGGTCTAACCACTGCTTTTTGTGTGTGTCCGTATTCAAACAGAAAATTGCTGTGCAGGTTCTGACTGTCATCTTTAAATGCCCGCAGAGTGCCGAGCTTATCGGAACCTGGGGGAAATCTAAATTAAATCTTCCCGGTGAATGGGCTCAGCCGCCGTATTATCTCTTGTCATTCTCAACTATTAAAGTTAGTTATTACAAAGTAAAGGCACATTTGTCAAAAGAATATGGAGGAGCTATTTTAAAACCAAAGAACAGGTGCAGAGTTACTGAATTCGATTTCAGGGTTGTCAGCCAGAGACTGGAGAGTTTGGATGGCCTGTGCTGACCTATTAAAGGAGCCCCTGTGTTAGAAGTCATCCATCCCACACCTGTCATGAAAACAGCTGAATTCTACCCATGTTTACATTCAGTACCAAAGCAGGAACATTAATTGCAGTGCAGAGTAAAGTAATGAAGGGCCTGCTTTCTCTTACCAACTGTGTCAGACAAACAGAAAATGCTGATTTGCATCATTTTAGAATGTACACTGTCAAAGAAGGTTTTTCATTCTTTGGGTATGAGACTGACTGTGCTGCTGTGTCTTTCAGGCCGATGGTGGTGGTGGTGCAGAAATTTGCAAGCAGAGAATGATGAAGATGGAGATGTAAAGTGCAGGACGACAACAAACATGGCTTCTTATTATCATGGAGAAAAAAGCATTCAGTACCGTGTTGAGCACTGAAAACCCTTCCTTCTTGTGATGCACGCTCACACATGAACTTCTCTGAGCGAAAGCTACTTTCACACAGATGCATGCTGCTGCAGTATTTGCATCTGAATGCCAACTTTTGTTGGTGAATTCAAGGGTCAGAGATTTTGCACATTCAGTTCAGAGTGAGGCAGGCCAATGGGGCCAAGTCACACATTAGCAAAATTCTGCCAGCCTCAATTATGACCAAAGGAATGAGCTCAGTCGTGTTGCAGTGGGGCCATGTTCAGACTGGGATGCGCCTATTTAAACTTTCCTGGCCACTTCCTTTATGATTTTCAGCACTCGAGTGCAATGGATGGTAAATTCCTGTGTCCAAAACAAGGTTCTCTGTGACCAGATTCTGATTTATTCTGTTCTATTTTATATTGAACCCTTGGACTGTGAATCTACTTTTCATATTTGTTATAAAAGAAGTGTTCAAGCTCTTTTCTCTCCACACTGCATACCTAGAGATTTTTTCCTTTTTATCACACTTTCTCTGTCCTTTTCTCTCTCTCAGTCTCTGAATGTTCAAAATGGAGAATCCAGGAGTCTGGCTTCAATCTTGTGGGCTTTCAGCTCCATATTTCATATGCATTATGAGACACCGCTGATTAAATTGCAAGTGTATGCCATGGCTCGTCCTGCTTCAATATGAAATAAATGTCTGTTTTTTTCCTCGGTTTTCTCATATTCTGTCTCCTCAGGGGGCTACAGATTGGATGATTCAGACTTTATGCCTGTTTCAAAGCCCAAGGTATTTTATTTATAGTGAAAAAGTACATTAATGTCTCTGCAGATTCTTTGGAAGATTTTTCAAGCTCTCTCTCAGCTGCCTCATTTGAACTGTAATTCTTGAAGTGCAGATATGTGTTGTTGGGCAGTGTAACAAATCTGATCTGGTGTTGTCATCCCTCCACTCTTACCACTGTCTTAGCATCGTACCCACGCCGTGACACGGCCAGCTATGTTGTCACAGCATTTATAATTCAGGCTTATCAATAAAACACGGACGGCATTAAGTTTTTATTCTGTGATGCAGCTCTGCTGTCTCTTGGAGCCTGACTGAAGAGCAAAACTTTCCTTCTCTGTTCTGACTTCCAGGCATCACTTGGCATTAGTCTAACCTCAGATGATCCTTGTTTCTCTCTAACATGCTTTTAGAAGCTTATTCCCTATGATCTCACATTCTGCTAGCTTACTCGCTAGACCTTCCTTTCCAAGCCCCCGGGCTTTAATAAGTTTTGCTGAGTTATATTTAATCGTATTGTCCTGTGCATCTGTTTGTCCATCTTACTGGGTTGAATCAGCATTGTTGTGCAGGAGAAAGAGCTCCAAATCATCCCATTTTACAGAAATGGTGTGGCTTGCCTTATGTTTATGAGTGTATACAAACAAACCGTCACACTTACGTTATTAGAGACTGAGAACAGCTTCATTAAGTACTGCTGTTTCCTAACACTGGTCCATCTCTGATTTTGCACAGCTATTCAAAATCTACTGGCTTCTGTCTGTTAGGGCATCATGCTTTTTTCTTTGCAGCTTTATGTAGCATCTGCCATCCGCAGAGATAAACAATATGTGTAGATACTGTAAAAGAGAGGGGAAGAGAGAAAACCGGAGAGAAAGGGTTGCATGTGTCAGTTAGAGCTGATAAAAGCCTGAAAATCCAATTAGTCTTCAGTATCAAGGGGAAGGAGGATGGCCTCATGGGAGTAATGTTAGGAAATATCCACCACAGTAGCATGTCAATAGCACCACATTTACATATTTGGCAATTGATTGATGAGTGTGTAAACCTGAGCTGGATGTTGTCTTGTAAATCAGGACTAGATTTGGTACTCATACTTGACACCCACATCAGCTTTTTGAACAGATATAATGCACCTTCTACACCACAAACCACTCTAAAAGATGGGGTCAGTGGCAGAGGACCAGCTTAATCTGAACACACTGAATCTATTCTGTATTCGCTGTAGATGTCCTGGAGTCCATTTCCACTGCTGAATGCAGACAGAGCTGCTTAAATGTGGTTTTTCTTTCTTTCTTTGATTTCCTTGTTGCTGGTGTCTTCTTCCTATGCCAGATATGAAAGCAGGGAGCAAGGATAAGAAAGCACCAAGGACAGTATCAAACGGCACAGTGCCCCAAGGCAGACCTCGTGTGCTCCTCAGGGAAGAACCACATGCCCTGGGAGTAGGAAACCAGAGCAAACACAGCTGCTGCTAGACCTTTTACTTGTGTGAATGCACATATTCACATAGTGTGTATTTACCTGCGTAGGTGTGTGGAGGAGAAGAGAGGACAAACTGTATGTGGGTGTTTGTGCAGTAGGGAAGACCTGAATGAGAATAATATGGACAACAGAGGGGAACAGGGGCCTTTGTGTGTGAGAGGAGCTCTCATGCATTCAGCTCACACTCTGCATATGTAAAAGATTCACAACTGTAATGTTCCTCCTCTGCAAGTATCTCTTCCCTTAAATGTTTCATATATTTTAGATTTTTGCTTTTGATGGCTTCTTCCTGTGTCTGATAAATGCACATTGTGTATGTATCCATCCAGGCACCGTCGCAAATGTGTATCTGTTCATTTGTTCGTGCTTATCCCCAAGTCGACCTGTATTCCAGTCAGGCTGTTGTTGAGGAGGAGGTGCAGTCCCAGCAGGGAGAGCTTGACGTTGTGTTGCTGTTATTGTCCTCATCTTCAAACAAGAATTGCTCTGGCCTTGTGCTCCTTTGCAGATTCACACACACACACATGCACACATGTGCCCAGACCCCCACCCTTCTGTGAAAGTGGAGCATCACAGCAGGCACACTGATATTGCTGCTTGTAAACTGTGTTTATGATTATGGTCACTGGGGTGTGTGGCAGCTCTGATTATTTGTCATATTAAAGTAGGCACAAAGGTTTTTCTCTTTAGCCCTCCAGGACTTAGTGAATAATAAACACATGACAAATAACAACTCAGTGAAAGATATGTGGAATAAAGTGGTTTTATTTTAAGCCTGTTTTTAAGTCCATTTGTTAATGCTTCATATTGAACATTTCAATATGACGTTTAACTGTCATTGTGTTAAAGGTACTCTCTTCAGTGTGACACATCTATGCCAGGTTTTTGCTTGACTCATTGAGATTTTCAATGAATTAACTGTGGCTGTGCAGTATCAGTTCAGAGTAATTGTAGATTATGCGTAAGACTAGAAAGTCGGGTAACTGCTGCTACTCGTTGCAGGGCAGTATAAGCAACGGTTGCCATGGTAAACTCAGGAAAAGTTATTAGAAAGCTAATATAATTGCAGTGTAATTTTGGCAAATGCTGTGTGGAGGTTAATTAAGAAAAAGCTTTATTTAACATGTACTTGGAGAATTGTTATCGGAATCAGCTTTACTGGCCACACAAAGAATTTGACTCTGGTACAGTGGCTCTTGCTGAGTATGTTCTGCCATAAGGCAACGAGTAGACAAGATAAGACTGAGAGAACAAGAAAAGAAAATGAATGTGCAAACCAGGAAAAGGAATGTTATGTTAAACCTAGACAAAGAGATCAGACAGAGGAAATTTGCTTTAATTGACCTTGGTGATATTGCCCCAGTTGTTTTTCCTGCTCTCACTTACACATGATAATTCAGTGTTTTTCTGTTCCACACTGTGAATGAATTTGAAGTCAGTGTTTTCTAAATGATAGGAACTGGAGTCCTCTTCTCTCCTCAGTGTCATTCTGCTCAGTGACCCCTGTCTTCACTTTCTTCCTCTCATCCTCTGTCCTTCTGTTTTCCTCCTTCACCTCCTCCTACCCCACCTCTCCACATCCCTCATATTCACCCTAGCCATCTCAGGGGGAAGTGAGGCCTGAGCTGGCCATGGGCCCAGGCCCATTAGCCCCAGCCTGGCAGCCATGTGCTCATCACCAGAGATCATTACATCCAGCCAATGACACCACCCTAATGCATCATTAATGATTGATTAATGAGCTGAGCTCATCCCAAACTGGTGCATTTGTACGGAAGAGCACCCTGTAATGGCTGTGCAAGGCTTGCATCTGCTATTTTTTGCCATGTTTGTGTGTGCTCTTGTGTGCGTGTGTATGTATATACCCATCAGTCTCCCTCTGTGTCCTGTCTCTTAGGTTGAGTGAGGGATCTGCAGACTCCAGTGTGTGAAAAGAGGGACTGGACAGGTGACTGCAGGGTAGCGTAATGGCAGGGTGGGGGCTCTCAGCCCCTCTCCCTCTTCTTCTATTCCTTCTTTTCCTGGTGGAAGTGCTTCCTGTGACCCAGGGGGCTGGCTACCTGTCTGGATATCGCCTCAGGTCTCGCCTGCAGAAAGACCGCCACATCCGCAACATCCGACCCAACATCATCCTCATCCTCACTGATGATCAAGACTTAGAATTGGGTAAATCATTTTCCTCCTTTGTCTGTGTTTGTGTGTTTGCTGTGTGTTTGTACATCTGTCCCTCTCTGTTTGCATTGTGTCCATCTCCCATGGGTATGTGGATATTCTCTCCATGTGTATCCAACAGCATCAGTAAAGGAAAGTCAGCCTAATGCTGCCTCTTGGCACCACAACAACTGACCCACTCAAAGTCATCTGCTCCCCATGCCAACTCTTCCATTGCTGGCATGAAATGGGGTGGCCAATGGCTTTCATTGTCTAGGTGCCAAACCCTGGCCATCTCCCTACCCGCTTAAGTCTTTTAGCAGCATATTGGACTGGAGTGGCTGCATAATGGCCTTGGTGACAGCCTTTGTCCTCCTGTGATCGCTAGCGAGAAGAGTCCCATTGAAAAGCAGGAATTTATGGTCAAGCATCTGTTTCCCCAAACAGTCACCATCAGCCTGAAAAGGTTTCAGTGCACAGGAGTCCAAATGGGTTACACTTCTCCACAAAGATTTATTCCCTCATATACTTTACCCCCTTCTTTTTCTCTCACCATGTCCATAATGGTATTTGTGCTCATGCCCTATATTTATATTTCACGCTTTACGCTCTGTGTTTTCCTCAATCTCTCCCTCTTTTTCCTTTCCAACTGCTTTATATGCCCTTGCTTCTCTTTCATTTCAATCCGCGGTCTGAATCTCCTCTCCCTGTCCTATCCTTTTGACACCCCACCCCCTCAATGTTTAATCCCAGGGTCAATGCAAGCTATGAACAAAACTCGGCACATCATGGAGAAGGGTGGCACACATTTCTCCAACGCCTTCTCCACTACACCCATGTGCTGCCCCTCCCGCTCATCCATCCTGACAGGGAAGTATGTGCACAATCACCACACCTACACCAACAACGAGAACTGCTCTTCGCCCTCGTGGCAGGCCCACCATGAGCCACACACCTTTGCTGTGCACCTCAACAACTCTGGCTATAGGACAGGTGAGCGCTGCAAGTCTGACCCAAGCAGCTTCATACACACAGTTTAAATTGATAGTTCCACAGATTTGTTGGCATTCGAGAACACCACTAACATACTGCACACCTGTTACTCACTCAGCCTTTTTTGGAAAGTATCTGAATGAGTACAACGGCTCCTATGTGCCCCCTGGCTGGAAGGAATGGGTAGCCCTGGTGAAGAACTCGCGCTTCTACAACTACACACTCTGTAGGAACGGAGTACGAGAGAAACACGGCAGCAACTACCCAAAGGTATTTATAAGATCCACCTGAGAAATATCACACCTGCCTTCACAGAATGATTGCTTGTATGAACATAAAAGTCAGACTGAGTATTGGAGCCATTTTCTTTTGATTTATACTTTGTTTTAGGGCCCTACCTTCCAGGGAGCCGCTGCCTTCTTGAAACATAGCAGAGTATTTGATGAGCCTGTGTGATCAATGCCAGGCATTTCTAATCAGTAATTTTATAAATTTCTTTTTTCTTTGCAAAGAGACTTACAGTTACTTTTTACATGGAGAATATTTCTCTTTATTCTTATTTAAACACATTTTCTTGTTGCCTTACAAAGGGCACTGAGACCCTCTGTATTAGAGTAAAATCCTTTGTGTTCAACATGCTTGGCCAATAAATCTGATTCTGATTTGATGGAACGTAAGCACAAGATATTAGGTTTGACTATTTTCCTTGCTATAAGCAACTAACTTAAAACTAATTTAAGAAAAGTAAAAAGTTGAAGGCCTTAACATCTGTCCTTTTGTTCTCCTCTGTGACTCACTGACCGCCCAATGGGTAATGTCTGTCCGCTCCACAGGACTACTTGACAGACATCATTACCAATGACAGCATCAACTACTTCCGTATGTCCAAAAGGATGTACCCTCACCGTCCTGTCATGATGGTCCTGAGCCATGTTGCTCCCCATGGTCCGGAGGACTCAGCCCCGCAGTACAGCTCTGCCTTCCCCAACGCATCACAGCACATGTAAGAAAATTAGTTAGCCCCAAAGTGCTAAAGCAAACATAACACTGATGCCTAACCAAGCTGCGAGCCCTAAGATGGTTGGAGGTTCTTGGATGCTTTATGATAATAAGCTCACCTGCAAAAATAATGAGAAACAGTTTCAATAGGTCTGTCTCTGCCTGTTTCATGTACACTGATTTGGTTTATGTGGGACAAATCTGACAAATACAAGGGTACATTTTTACATTTTCACATTCACAGCTATTTGCTTGCATGTGAGTCATCTACATTTTCACACTCACTTTTATTTGACCCAGAATGACACATTTCGTAATTTCAGCTCGATCTCATCTTTGTTTGTCTGCATTGCTGTTGGCGGCTGAGCTCTTTTATTGTGCATAGCCAGTGTTTCACTGCAAGTTTTTTTGGGCTCATGTATTGTTCATATTAGAGTTAACACCCTAATGAGCTCTGCTAATTTGCACCATTTTGTCAGCTATGATCAAAGAGAGGATATCATATGCATAGGTAATGATTTACACATGATGGTTGTTTCTGTAGCTGTGAGGACTCTCATTGATAGAATGCATTCCCTTGAAATGTCCTCACTGTCATGGGTTTGAGCTAAAATGTATACAGACTTGTACAAAAACACATACAGAGAGACAATATTAAGCCTTTGTTTCCCTGACCCTCCATGCGCCTCATGGGCTGTCGAGTGGGGCTGGCTAATGGCAGACCTGCTATTGGCCTCCAGAGACAGATCCAAGGCCATTAATGAGACTGCAGTTTCTGCTCCCCTCCCTGCATCATCCCCACACCTTCCTCCTGCTTCGTCTAATCCCTCCAGCATCATTAACCTGTGCCACACAGGCTTTATACACAGCCTATACTGAAAATCCAGCCTCTGTGTCTTTGTACAAACTTTTAATTGCTCTTTCTCCATAAATTTGTTGTCCCTCGGGTGATGTTTTGTGAGACTGCCTCTGCTGGCTCTTCCTCTCACTCCATCTTCCTCTGTCGCCATCAACCACATGAAGAGAGAGAGAGACAGTAAAAGTCAGGCACTCCTCTAATGATAAACATTCTTCTCACCTTGGTACCTTGCAGACATGTCTTCACACTACATTAGTGTTGTCACCGTGGTCCAGGCTGCGGGAGACATTAGCATTTCTTAAAAGTTAAATCGATTCACTTTAACTTTAAATATATTTATTTCTAGGATCTCATTGGCTATTTAGCAGTGTTTATTCTCAAATAATTAAAATTCCGTATGGCTAGGAGTTAAATATTGATCACACTGAGCTCACTGTTGATAGGCTGATTGATTGCAGTGCTTTGCATTTTACATGGTTTATGTACCCTCCAGTTTAGCACAGTATAAACAGTTTTCTGGCTACCTTGGAAAGAAGAGGATAAATGCAGGCAGAAAATATTCCAGCAAACACACAGTGTAACGGTGCAGGCGTTCAAACATCACCTATATCTAGTTTACAGTAACGAAATGTGCAAATTACATAAAGATGAAAAACAAGTGAATGCAGATGTATGCCATATGTATACCGACATCTATTGGAAAGAGCTGTGTTGTGATATTTCCACTACTTGGATGTATAAGGTGATCATGTTTATTCTATATTGAGTTTTTTGATGTTTTTGGTAAGTTTGATGTTTTTCTGCCTCTTTCAGAACCCCTAGCTACAACTATGCCCCTAACCCAGACAAGCACTGGATCCTACGCTACACAGGACCTATGAAGCCCATCCACATGCAGTTCACTAACATGCTGCAGCGCAGGAGGATGCAGACCCTGCTGTCTGTGGATGACAGTGTGGAGAAGGTAGGCGAACCAGAAGGCAGATGGCATATGCTTAAACACACACACACAGGCATACACACACATTTCATCTGACAGTCTCAAATCCTGAGAGATCTGTGCTTGTTCTGACTGGGACTGTATAATGTATTCACTGACACACTTGGTAAATTGTACAATCCTTTTTTCCTTGAAACTGGCACAGGAGACTTGAGCTACCAAACATGAAGTATAACTTTATGTACTTTTCACACTGAATTATATTTTCCTTAGGTGTACAACATGTTGGTGGAGACAGGGGAACTGGACAACACTTACCTCATATACACCTCAGACCATGGGTACCATATTGGCCAGTTTGGTCTGGTCAAGGGCAAGTCAATGCCTTATGAGTTTGACATTCGTGTTCCCTTCTATGTACGAGGACCTAACGTGGAACAAGGGGCAATGTGAGTGGCTCTGATATCTAGATGCTGTCTTCCAGTATGTGAGATTAATTTTCAACAAAATGACATTTAAAATATTATTGTTCTTGTTGGCCTGCAGTAATCCTCATATAGTGCTGAACGTTGACTTGGCGCCGACTCTGCTGGACATGGCTGGTGTTGATATCCCTGCAGAAATGGATGGCAAGTCTATCCTGAAGCTGCTGGACACAGACCGACCTGTCAACAGGTGAACACACTCAACAGCTATTTTACTCATTATCTTGGCATTAATAGGCACTCGAAGAATGATATTTAAAATGTTGCAAACTTTTTTTGGGCTTCAAATTGTTTTAGTAGTCATCTGTTCTTGTGTTTTCTTAGATAAAATGAAATCTGCAATCCAAATATGCCGCCATAACAATGTAACACCACTCTCTTTTCAATGCTGTACATGGGTAGCATTTGAAAATAGACTGCATGTTTGTTCAGTGCAAATATCCCACAGTAGTCTGACAGATTTGTTTTTATTTATTGCTCACTTTCCAGGTTCCAGTTGAACAGGAAGGGTAAAACATGGAGAGATTCTTTTCTGGTGGAGAGAGGGTATGTTCATCAATCGTCCAACATCTGTGCAGGACATGTTCTCATTCCAGACTTTTGGGTACATCTCATATCTCTCTCATATCATTTTAAGTCTCTTATCTTGGCTCTGAGGAGTGAGGAGACTGCCCCTTTATCAGAAATCAGTTGGTGACTGGACGCTTCAGATGAATGTGAGGAAAAGACATCTCATGCCATTAATAGCATGTTTCCTTGATTCCTCTCTCCTCATGTTTTCCTTGCATCTTACCTGAGCAGGACTAAGACGCAAGGAAAAGTTACAAAAGGGGGACGCGACTGCAGGACTAAGACGCAAGGAAAAGTTACGAAAGGGGGAAACAACGGCACTTATAAGAGATTGGGATGTACCCATTGTCTACTGGTGAAATCAGACTCGTTGTTTTTGGTTGGTTGTGAGAAACTTCATGTGTTTCCCTGTTCTTTTAGGAAGCCTCCGCACAAAAGAGCTGATGGAAAGGAAATGGCTCAGGAAGAGAACTTCCTGCCAAAATACCAGCGAGTGAAGGACCTGTGCCAGAAAGAAGAGTACCAGACATCCTGCCAACAGCCAGGACAGGTACTTGACCTGCAGGAGATAAAAAAAGAGAAGTTAATAAAGTTTCAGTAGAATAATATGGAGTGTGGCTCATTCAGATGATAATTTGTAATCTGGATGACAGTTTTCTGGGTGTAATCTGCAGTTGCTGTATTTTCCTTTCCTCTTTTTGAAACCTTCAGTGTCTTATAAATGTTTAAATACTGCTGATCTGAAATATGTTGCTCACTTAAAAAGCTCTACAGAGATCCCAATGGAGGTCTGTGCACAGAAATTTGGACATATCCCCATAAAGAACATTATAAATCAAAGGGCTTATGCATCAAAACTGGTGCTGCACTATAGTGCAAGCCTGATGACCCACTGCCGTCATGTTTCGCTCTGCTTTGTTTCAGAAGTGGCAGTGTGTGGAGGACCCCACTGGCAAACTGAGGCTGTATAAGTGCAAGGGCATGGCCGGTCTCTATGCCCCACGTATGCAAGCTCTGATGGCCAGTGGTGCCTCGCATCTGTCTCTCACATCCAACTCAAACAGCTGTAACTGTGGTGATGTGGGCTTCAAAACTTCCATCCTGAAGAGAAAGAGGCTGCTCACCAAGAAAAGTACGTTCCTTATGTCACTCTGGTAGTAATTAATAGATGTGATTTTGGTCAGAAAGACACTTGTTCTGTACTTTCAAATGCCCTTGCCATAGCCTACAAAGCTTTGCCAAACAGGGCCATTAATCTCCAGCTAAAACAACCAGTTTTTGAAGCATTCATGATAAGAAGGATGTGTCTGCACTGCCACCAAGTGGTGGATGAGAGTAGACCGCTTGAGTCTTTAATCATAGGGCCTTGAAATAACAAATACAAAATGGAATGTGATACTACTATTCATAAAGTTTTCTGTCATAACTATAATGTCATCTGTCCTAATATGCAGTATCAAAAATACATCCCTCTTTTTCATCTTATTTAGATTCCTCTGTCTCATCTTATTCAGAGATGAAATCCAGTAAGACTGTCTCTAGGAAGCGCTGGGCTCGCTCTGTATCATTTGAGCTGGATGGAGACCTGTATGCTGTAGACCTGGAGGATGGCTACCAGCCCCTGGGATCCAGGAACAGCAGCTGGACTAGAGACAGGAGGAGAGGAGCAGGGAATGAGGAGGACAATGATGAGTTCAGTGGCATGGGACTCACAGCCAAGCCCACCACCAGCCACAGACTGACACCACCTGCTGCTCTTAAAGTCACCTACAGGTCTGTATATACATCTCTCTGCACTACTGTGTAATGTTTTGGTGATAAATAGAGAAATAAACTGTAAGGACACCATTAAATAGCTGGTCATGTTACTGTGTTTGCTTTCTGCAGGTGCTCCATTCTTATGAATGACACAGTAAAATGTGATGGAGGACTCTACAGGTCCCTTCAAGCCTGGAAAGACCACAAACTACACATTGAGCATGAGGTACTGCTTCATTCTCTTTCTTGTTATAAAACTCGTTGCGCAGATTTTAGTACATAGTGATGTATAATGAACTTTGTGTGTTTGACCCCATTCTGTTTAGATTGAAACCCTGCAAACCAAAATCAAGAACCTGCGTGAGGTCAAAGGTCACCTTAAAAAGGTGCGGCCTGAAGAATGCCAGTGCAACACTCCGAGGTGAGAATGTGTCACAAGCGCGATGTCATCAGCAGCATCATGACATCATTGTGTGTTTGACAGTTGTCTCTTCTCTATTAAGTTATCTTCTGAAGAATAAAGAGTCTTTCAGGCTAAATGCAGAGCGCATGCACTCACTCAGGTACAAATGTACATAGACAACAGTGAATTAATGATTGTGAATTCTTAATCCTACTCTAATACATTTTTTGTTCTCATCAGAATTTCATCCAACAAGAAAAGTGAGTGGCTGCAGAAGGAGCAGAAGCGCAGAAAGAAGCTACGTAAGTTCCTCAAGCGGCTCCAGAACAATGACACCTGCAGCATGCCTGGCCTCACTTGCTTCACCCATGACAACCATCACTGGCAGACTGCCCCCTTCTGGACAAGTGAGGAATGACATATGGTTGTAGATGCTGATTTGACAAATATTGCATTGGAATTTTTTAAATGTTTCCAAGCAGATATAATGAAAACAATATTTTTTGAACACTGTTGTTTTCCTTTCCCATGCTCATTCCTCCATTTCTCACCCACTGTCCCTCCGCTTCTCCCTCAGTGGGTCCATTTTGTGCATGCACCAGTGCCAACAACAATACCTACTGGTGCCTCAGGACCATCAACGATACACACAACTTCCTGTTTTGTGAATTTGCTACCGGTTTCCTGGAATATTTTGACCTGAACACTGACCCATACCAGGTATTTCATTTGTACAGCCACACATATAATGACAGCTACATAAATAACTTACCAATGATAGCTATAAAATGATCCTACAACATGATTCATGGTGCATTCATGTGAGCACAGAGGGGTACAGGTTTTCCTGAGTTATCCAGAGTTTTTCAAAATTTCCAAAGCCTTTGCTGACATTTTTGTTTTTATTGTTCCTGTAGCTGATAAATTCTGTCAGCACCCTCGACCGTGATGCGCTGAATTCAGTGCATCAGCAGCTCATGGACTTACGGGGCTGCAAGGGACATAAGCAATGCAACCCAGAGAAGGGTGAGTAAAAGACCTCTAAAGAAAACATGATTGATTACAGTTTCTTCAGTAATGTCAGGCTAAGACTAATGTTAGCTCCACTTTCTTTCAGGAGGGAAGGAACGAAACTACTTCAGTGAATACAGGTATTTCCTTCGTCCTCTTACAGCACAGCTGATTACTTTTGCAAACACTGCAGATGGAAATCATGTTACAGTATGAACTCAGAGGTTACAGCCTCCCTTGTGAGTCTTTGGTTATGCTTCTGCTCATTTGGGGAGTCAAGGAAATAAAATACAGTGATGTTATGCCGAAATTGAAACTGCCATGGTTCCTTACTGTTTGTGATCAAAGCCTTTTTAGCAACCAGAAGCAGAAGCCAGAGGGCCGAAATGCAAACCTGCTTTCCAGCTTCTGCTATTCCCTTTTTTTGTGATGAAGCCTAATTGCTTGTCTCTGCTGTGCGTGTGAGGGTGTTTGTGTGTGTGCCTGTGTGCATGTATGTGTGTGAATCTGTGTGTGTGTTTTGTGTGTATATATATGTATGTTTGTCTCCATGTACGTGCATTTGCCCTGCGCGTGTTTACGTGCTGTGCATGCTTCAGACCAGTTCATCGTCGAAAGAGGCCAAAAGTGAAGAAGCCTTCCTCCAAATCGCTGTGAGTTTGTCATAACCCATCTGTTCCTCTGTAGTCAACCAAGCTCTTCCCATGACTCTATCCATATTTTTTTAGCTTGGTCAGATGACCCAGTAGCATGCTTTCTCCTCTCTCTCCTGTCGTCCTTTACTTATAGTAACTCTCATTTTCCTGCATTGCCAAAGGTGCACCATCTCCTTTTTCAGTCATCCACTCAAGTCAAATTCAGTAAAGCAATGCAGATGTGAAGTTGTCTCATTATTTGTGTCCTCAGTCCTGTTATTGTCATTTCTGACTTTTCCTCGCAGTGTTGGTAGGAACAGACCACAACTGGAGCCACGGTTTCCAGTGAATGCTTCAAGTGGCACCTTTAACTCACACTATTTATTTTCCTTGTACAGAGGGCAGATTTGGGAAGGGTGGGTTGGTTAACCACCTGTATCCCACAACCATAGCCGTCTCCTCCGGTGAAGGAAGGAGAAGGGGGAGTGCAGGCAAACCCAAGGACCTTGACAGCACTTCGAAGAACCATAACCTTAGACACCACTCTTCTCTGATCTGGGTTTAATTTTTGAGAGAGTTGTTCTTCATTGCCCTCACCCAGGCAGAAGAGATACAGAGACTGAGGGGAAGCTCAAAAACTCTCCAGTTGTTAATTCTACCTTGACATACATATCATACTCATGTACATCTTCTGTTACCCTCAGCTGACAGGACTGTCAACATGCACAAAATGCTGTGAATCAGGTGGGACAGTTTGGTGTCCACAAGCCATCCAGTCTAACAGTACTGCTTGTAGATAATATATATCAGCTTTAATCAGCTTTCTTTAATGTCATATTGGACAGGGTGGAAACTTGATCAGTCACATGTCAACTGTGCTCATGATGTCTCTGTGGCATGTGTTAAATCATTAGTGCTTGGAATAACAATGACATCTTTTCTTTCTCTGTGCCAACATGTCTGCACATTGAAGCGATATGGACTTTTAAATAACCAACACTAACAAACTCTTTGCCATAATCTTTTGTATTATAGTTGATCTTAACACTGGTGAATGTCCTTCATAGAGCATCATCTTCCTCAGAACTGTGAGGTGACTAGCGTTTGCCTGCCTTGATCCAGTCTCTATACATCCACATTTTGAACATGCCCACACTAGCCACTGTCTCACAGTGATACAATCCAGACCTCCAGAATATTGGACCCTGGCAGAATGTGTCATTAGTGAATGCAATGCCATATTGTCAGTACCACATTGTATCCAAATAGTTTGTTCAGCTTGCTATACATGGTGCTACAGAATAACAATACAGAAATAAAGTCTTGCTGTACAGTACAGTATGTATTTGAATGTATGTTGTTCAATTAATATGTTTAAAATATTTTTTATAATCTGAGGAGGGAGACCTCATTGTCTCAGTTGACAACATGAACTTATAGGGAGACATGTAGCTTGAGAAATGTCATTGCCCACAGTTTATATGGTTGTCTTTTCCTTATTTACTATGGGAAAGCACTGTGAATAGATGATCAATGTACATTTATTGCATATATAGTTTACTCTATATCAGAGGAACAACAACAGTGTAATACGTATTGATGTGAATTTTAGCTACCTGCTTTTGTTAACTTGTTTGATTTTTTTTTAGCAAATATTTCCCTAGACCTCATTGCTGATAGTAATTGTGAATAAAGAGCTGTTTGAACCAGAAACGTGACTCGAATTTTATTCTGAAATCACACTGCGGTGTATTTGTGTTCCCATCCAGCAGGTGTCGCTGTCTGCTTGTCCACAGCTCACACAGTAGCAATGTTGGATATGCAGTTATAAGAGAGTTAGGTAAGGTTCTTGCCTCTCTTGTGTAGCCCGAATCAGGTGAGAATATATTGCAAATGAGCACATTCCTGATTTGATATTCAAACATTAAGGCCAATGATCAGAAAGTAGGCTCTCTCTGGTGCAGGTGTGTCGCTTAGCAACCGCACTGCTCTGCTACATTCCAAGAAGTGATTTTAGCACGGTGCTAAAGTTCAAGCTAAAATCTGGTCTTAGCTAACTATTTCATAAGCACATGTACAAATAAGGACAATAAACAGTAATAAAAACACTATAATAATCCCCGTTTTTGTAACAGCCACCTGAACATCGAAAACAAAAAGTCTATGTGGTTATCACACATAAAGATGGATAACTTTTGTATCCCAGACCCTACTGGTTTATCTGGAAAAGTTGGCAGACATTCAGGACAGTGATGTCTGTACGTGATGTTTCTGGTCACACCACTTTACATTTTATCACCCTGCTTTGTTCAGCCAAATGAGCCACTATCCTAAATGCTGTTTTCGTTACGGTTTCCAGCCTGCTAGTTGGTGGGACAGAAGGTGGGGGTGTCAAGGAGTGCAGACTGGGTGACCCTCATCCCAACCTATGACTCACGTGCAGAGGCGGAGACTCCGTATCGGATTCACCACCGGAGGGACGTCCCGCATTCACTACTCGGACCGCGCTGTGCTCTCAGAAAACCGTCGTTCATCTCGATAAAAGCCAAAACAGTTTCCCCTTTGTTTACGTCTTGTTTACAATGTGAAGAAAATGGCCGCGACGAGGTAAGTTAACTCTCACTTTAATTCCAAAGCGATACAAACTTTAAGTTGTGGACTGTGGTCAAGCCTCAATCCATACTCATATTGTAGTAGCATACTTTACAGTAGGCTCAACGGTAGGCGATGTTTGTGTAGACTAACTACATGACTAAGAAAATTAAGTAGTTCTTTTAAAAGTGAAATTCAAATTGTGTTTGGTGTAACGTTATTGCTGTTTAATAAACTGCACATATCAGGTTTACCTTGGGCAGGTATAACCAACCTTGCTAGCACGTAGCCTGGGAAACTATGGGAGATGTTTGACACTTGAATCAACTTTTGCCTTCACTTAATATTTCTAACAGAACTGAGTTGGCTAGCCACAATTCTGTGTGGGAGATTTAGCGTGATTTCTTCGAGTCACCGGCCTCTTCTTTTGATTTTTCTTAAAATGAGCCACATATTGGCTAAGCTGATTGAACTCCGTGGTGTGGTTAAGAGACTAGTAACTTAAACGGAAGAGAAATATTCCGCAGCCCATCTGTTGCTCCTATTTTTACTGGTGGAAGGTAACTGGGGATCTTAGCTCTAGCTTCTGATCTGCACATGTTGGATGAAATTCTGCAGCATCTGCTGTGACTGCAGAGGCATTAAAACTATGTTTAGCTTTCATAAGTTTCTTCAGACAGATGGTTTGTTTTTGCCCTCAAGGTTTATTTAAAGCTACTGAGATGTATAGGATAAGCTGCTTTGGTTCCTTTCAGATTTTCCCCTCAGATGTTTCGATACACATTTCATTTTATGCTTTGTATAGTATATTAAGTTATTATGCAGTTAAGGTTTGATGGCATAATGGCTGAATCTGAAGTTAAGAGACTCTTGGATGTTTCAGTATTCCTCCTGTTCATACTGTGCCAGTGTGTGACAAGCAAGCCACTCTGTCTGATGTCATTTACATGGCCTGAAGCTTAGTCTGGCACGCCATGCCACGCCAACCTGACTTCCTGGGTGCAATAGTTTCACCGTCCCTCCCAGCCGATGCTCGTTGGCAGCTTCTGAGTAGTGTTAGTTTCAGCAGACATGTTACCCCCCCCTTTCTCTGTTCAGCTCAACATCTTTATCGCAACACCTTTATCAGTCTAGCAAAGACAGGATGGTGGGACAAGACAGGGTCTGTCTGCTGCCTCCTAAAACTTCTGTTCAAACTGCTATAGTAGGGGTTTGTCTCACTGTTTACCCTGCTAGCTCACAACAGTGTACAGACAAAGGAGCGCAACCCCCCCATGATAAGTCCCTGTAAAATTTGACAAAGACAAGACAGGATGTCCAACTTGCAGAGGATTTGACAATGATAAAGGTTGTTTGCCTGTTGAGAGGAGGTGTTTGTGGCTTGTTATGGATTGTGACTAATAATACAATACATTTTACAACTCCAAATCACATTTTCCAGCTTTCACCCTCTTCTTTCCTGTTGTCTGTACTGTGATCCTGTTCACATCGCTGTGGATCAGTGCTCGTAACCCTCTGCTCACACTTTGATTGTCTGTGGCCTGCCCGGGTGACACTGTCATGAGGTTAAGGTGATTTACCCAAACACATTTTACTGTACCTGTACTAACAGATATTTTGAGCCTTCCCACTGTGGGGATTAAAGGCTGCATTAGGCTGAACCTGACACTAAGAGTGCTGACCATTGCTCACTAGCATTACAGGGGATAGTAGCTTGTGGACCGGTTTTATGTTCAGATTGACCATAAGGATAAATGTGTCATCTGCTTTAAAAGAGTACAACAAGTCTGTGTAACTGTAGTGAGCTGCCACAGTGCCACAAAGCCCTGAGTATTAACATCTTCACCAGGCTGCTCTGCATTTCTAATCCTGGAGGTCTTGCCGTATGCACCTTCACTTCTAGAGGACAATCTGGACCCCTTTTCCCAGCCACTGACCCCCTACTCACCCTGTAACTATGCTCTGGGATTAGACTTCTGGTCTCGTTTGTCATGTCAGCGGGGGAGGAATCGGGGGGATGGTGCACTCTAACTCAGAATGAAGTTACAAACTGCTACTGGGGCCAGGCAAACAGGTCAGAGACTGTTGGAACATGTTGTTTTGACAGCATGCAGATCACAGAGATCTAATTTCTGTTTGAAAGGTTGTGTCAAACACATCCTCATCTTATAACATGTAAAACCCTGAATTTTCAGACAGTTTTTGTCCACAGTCTTGTCTGATCTGAAAAGTCCCCACATGCTCTTCCTCAATAGAAAGGGCTGGATTTTAGCTAAGACGGGGTCTTGTGTTTGGTTACACTTACTCTTATAAAAGGGAATTTATTGACCCTGTTGGTGAGCAGAGCCTCACACAGACAGTGACTGTTCAGCGGAGCTGCAAGGGGGCCGGAAGTTCCCCAGCATTTCTGCTGAAAGCTGCAGTTTACGCGGGAGAAGACAGGATGGCGGGACAAGACAAAACCCTTCATACAGAAATCACAGAGAGCTGTTTATGTGCAGTCAGTCTGTAGGCAGATTACAGCGAGGGTATCTGAAGTAACATTCAAGACTTCCACAACAATAATGTTCTCCCAGAACTGGTGGTGAGGTAGACACTATATATATATATCTCATAAAGAATCGGTTTGTTGCGGTGGGGGTGAACATTTTGGCAGCTACATGGAATAAACGCAGTTAGGCCATGAAAAACCAGTTTTGCTGAAGGTGGCTGTGCTGTGCAACCTTGTGAGATCCGGTCTAATCCAGTGCCTGGTGGCGAGAGCAAACTGTCTCTACTTCTGGATTATGGCGGCTGTTGAAGGAGGTCACCTCAAACCTTGTATCATTGTCTCAAACTCCTCCCCGGCCTGGGTCCGATTGGCTGGAGCCCCCTTTGTGGAGGCAACACAGAGTTCTCGGTGAATGAAGTCTGCCTGTTGATCTGACAATAGCCTGCATTGTTCTGTATCATCACAGGCTTCAGAATAGGCTGCATTTCACAGGCTTTGTAATGCATATGGACGAGAGTCATCACAGGACATTCTTGTTAGCTAGGTTACCATGAGTTTTTTCTATTCAAAGCGAGCTCTCACACTTATGTATAGCAATAACTGTTGGCAACTGCAGCACAAAAGGAATATTTTTCTCACTACTCAAGCAGATGATGTGTGTTTATGTGATTGTCTTTCACAAACAGTCGCCATAGTTATTTATTTACCTTTGTGATGACAAAGTACATGGTGGCATAGTGCAGAAGGCTTCATAATACAATGGCTTTAAAATAGACTCCACGTCCAGAAGTGGCTCACAGTTGTATAGGCCTAGCATATATACTACCACACAGAATAAACCAGACTCTTTGAATCTTGTGGTTTTAGGCCTGTGCCATCAATCTAGTGACTCAGGGCTACTGTTCTCAAGCAATACTAGACAAGATGAAAAGAGTTCACTGGAAATATATTTACTCTCAATCTTAACTGGACGATGATGACATTTCCTTGTCATTAAATCTGATGGTGAATTTTCTACTAGACCAACATAAATAAATGGTAAATGGACTGCGCTTATGTAGCACTTTTTTACCATAGCACTCAATACATGAAAGATGACCCCCAGACTCATTTACCAACCTCAGCACACGGTGAGTGAGGAATGGGTACTGACAGCCGCTGCTGAGGGATGGGAGGAAAAGGGGAGGAGGGGTGTAGTAGAGAGAAAATGTATGAATCTGTTATAAGCCAGGCAAAAGGTCCGTACACTGCACTGTAAGCTCCCAGCAAATTCCATTACCAAGCAACTTTTAGCAAAGATCTTCATCAGGTATTGTCAAAGCCTGCAGGTAATTTGCCGGGAGCTTATAGTGGAGTGTGTGGATCTTTTTTTCTGGTTTTAGGCTTTAGTTTGCTTTTTGGTCTTTAGATGTTGTGTTTGCCATGTATTCATTAATTCAGCATAATCATAAGTTTCAATTATGTGTCCACATTTAATGTTTTCTATCCATGTTAAATGCAAAAATCACATTTCTGTCAGTTGCACCTTTTTTCCATGACTGCCTATTTTGTTTCACAGTCTCATTTATATGTCAGAATGTTTCTATTGTCAGAGGGCTGACATTGTATTGAAAGTGAAAAATTTTAAAGTCATAAATGCAGCCTGCCAAAATTCTAAGGGGCTATTCATGCTTTGGGCATCCGCATGTCCGCTATGGGCGAGTGATGTAATTTTCGTCATCTTCAGGTCCACGAGGGTTCATGCAGACTAGAAACTGTTGGCTTACTTAGACAGAAGGCAGTCCTTCGATTTGAAGTTTGAATTGAAAGGTGTGCTGTGAGGGCTTGACTATTTGCTTTTGCTTTTATTTAGGGGTACCAGCCAGGGCTCTCTCCTGACATATAAGCTTTTATTTAGGTCATTTTGAATTTTGTTTAGTTTATGGCAAATCTCACAAAGGATGTACTTAAAGTAGGGAAAATAAAACCGTTTACACCCTTGACCACCATACATGAACACAAATATTTCAGTCCAACAGAAAACAACCAATACATGTCCCCTGTCTGTGTCTGTGTACACACGAGAGTATGCGCAAAGTATGTCTAGCCCTTAATGGTGATTCCTGGACTGAGACCATCATCTGACAAAGCAAACAAATTATGTGTCAGTGGGAACACTGCTGTGTGATTGGCTACATGGGTTAATGTTTTAAAATTGCAAAGCAGGAGTAGTTAAATTGTTTCAGCAACTGTTGAAAATCTCAATGTCCGTGTTTTGAACAGATGGAGTTTGCTTCTTAATCTCAAGGTTGTTCAACACAGGTGTTGTTGTTTTGGAAAATGACTTCATGAAATGCCAAAACAGAGAGGAAACTTATTTTTAAACTTTATCTGAAAAGGAAAATTGGCAAACTAAGTAGGCTTTAGAAAGTCTCAGCTGTAGAACAGATACATATGTGGTCATCCATTCAAGGTCTCATTGTTTTCACACCCTTTTGATCATCTGAACTCTTCAGGGACTTTACAGATGATGCATAACCTGTGG